CAGGGGTTACTCTTACCAGCCAAGGCTGGTGACCCCTTACCCTGACCCAGAACCAGCTCCCCAACAGAACTTTAACAGGGTTCATTGCAGGACAAGAACCTGGTTGGAGATGACTGTGACTGTAGGCCTGTTTAAAGCCTTTTTCCAGTTCCTACATCACCTCAGGATGACCCCTGAGAGGGTCTGGGATATAACTGTGGTTTGTGTTGTTCTTCTCAGTATTGCCACTATTAGCGGAGAACAGCAGCCTGTCCTACAAACTGAAGACCCTAAACACCACTCCATCCACCTGCCAGCTATCCAGGATGGGACAGAAGTGAGAGACACCATCTGTCAGGGTAATTTCTCACTTTAAGTCACATCACTACCACAGCAGCAATAAAAACACCATACACCTTTAATCTGCTCTTCTTTATTTAATACATGTTAGTTTTTTATCTTTCCAAAAGTTAACATGACTCGCTTGTGACCATGCACCCACCCCTAACTTGTTCTTGAGTTATTCTCTTTCCAGATCCGCCCTCCTGATCTGGCAGTCCAAGTCCACCATTTTTTAATACGTTCTTTGTATTTTTGTCAGAAGGTCAATTATGTAAAGTTCTTTAACAGTTACCTGGGCTCCAGAAGGAGGACATTAAAACATACAGTTGTACATGAATTTCACAGAATGAGCTTCTGGTGTTTACTGAGCATCTTTCTGTGCAGTGGAGGTAGAGGGACCCTCCTGCTGCTGCCCAGCCACACTCTCTTAACAAGGTTGAGAATATGTTAATACTTCAATGGAAGCTGAATGTCACACTCTTTGTTCCACCACAACGTTAAGAACAAGTGAACCATCAGCAACATAACACATTACCTCCATAGGCCTTCCTGAATTGTTTCCTCATATTCCTCATCGTAGATGAGTGAAATTTTTCAGTATAGACTAAAATACCAATTAGCAAAATCTTTGTAGTATTGCATGCTTACAGTTACAATGTCAGTTCTGCGATGAGGCGCTCCACCAGATAGATAGCATCACCAAATAAATTATGAATATGCTAAAAACAAGTAGATTTAGACATGGGGGAAATTATTAGAACATCCTTGTTTTCTATCAAATTGTGACTCCTGAATGTATTATGTGAAAGACCAAATAAAACTGCCTAAAAGCCATT